TATAATTGCAAAAAAGATTTAATATTTTTGGTTGAAAAATTATATTTATTTTAAAAGGTTTTTTTGTCATTTATTATTTTGGACTGAACTAGATGCATCTGCATCCAGATGCGTCATCAAGACTCACCCTCATTTGGGTGAGAATTTGAGATGAGTTTTAAGAAATTCAGTTGGGTGATCCATCTGGATGTAGCATTTTAATGTACAAAACGAACATTGATTTGCATCTTCACCCAGATGGATCACTTGGGTGAGCAAACGAACAGCACCTGATAAGACTGATAGTAGTGAAGGCTTGTTGACAAAAATCACATGCATTGAAAAAACTAGGATATAATTACATGATAAATCATTAATGAGCAGTTATGGCAATAATGATAGAAAAGTAAAAAAATGTAAAATACAATGGTATAAAGGAAAAAATATGAAAACATAAAAAAAATGAAAAAGGGTATAAATGAAGTAGGACCGAATAAAAATAAAAATAAAAATAAAAATGAGGTATGTGAGATTTCAGAACCTGTCGCTATGGCCCACTTTCCTTCAGACAAATCAGACGGCAGGTCCCACACCCTTGTTCTATTTCGTGATTCACATTACTGTATGCCTTTGTCTCCACACTTGTTACACATCCACGCAATTATACGCCTGTTTATTACCAATAACGATATATAAGTTTCCTGTGTTACAAAAAAAAAAGAAAGTTGCCTAACGTATCCGTACGTATAAATGCATATAAGTTTAAGCTTTTTAGATCATTTTCAATCAATGACGATATACAATTGTCTCATCTAGTTTGAATGCGACGTCCAAATTTAAGAAACTAATGTATCTAGTTAGCTATAAACTAACGAGGATTGAATATACATATAAGTCTTTATCGATGATATTATAGCTGAAATGCTGATATAATCTTTTTTTTTTTGACAAACTGATATAAACATATTCAAACCAATGTGTCAACTGGTATCCAATGTGATACTTGTGTATCCATATAATTTAATAGTGGACACGATCACATATATGAAGCCAAATCTAGTCTCACGCTTTCACAAAGAAACATCAAGAAACATACAAAACGTCCCCAAAACATTTTGTCCTTTTTTTTTGTTTTGCATGACTTTGTCGATTGGAGCTATAAAAGCAGTTTTTGTTTGAGTATATAATATTTCAAATGTCAACTACTTGTAGTCAATGTGATATATATTTTTCTCATACTCCCATGCATACAAAATAGTGATATACGTACATTATGAAAGAAGTGTAATACAAATATCGCTTTAGTTAGTTTCCATCCACTACTTACCATAAGATAGAACTAGATATTGATCCGCATAATCGTGCAGGTTTTTTTTTTATTTATAATTTATAAAAAAATTATTATTAAATAATAAGATATTGATTTCTTAAATCTTACAAAATACTAAAGTGATAGATGTTAAAGTATCATTTTTAAACACAACATGAAAATATAAATTATCATTATCTATAGTATTTCCAAATAAATATTAAAAGGTATTGTATGCAAATTGCAGAAACTAAAACTCTATATTAAAGAAGAATATATATTTGATTATTTCAGATTATAATTTATGTATCAAGTTCAAAAATATATCAATAAGTAATAACAATAATAAGAATATAAATCATAATATATAAAACATATAACTATATATTAATAATGACGAATAAGAAACTTAAACATCAAAATTATAGAGTTATATAATATATCAAATTAAATGTATATGATATATTTATTTATTTTTATAATAGTATCAAAGTTTTGTATTTATAAAATGAAAAATATGTGTGGGTCAAATTCTAGTATATAGTTTTTATTTAGGTTTTAGAATATATAGTTAAATGTTAATTTGTTAAACAAAAACATTTGTATTTCAAATAAAAGATAAACATATAGGGTGATATTATAATTAAATTATGTAAAATTTGATAACTGTTTTAAGGAATGGTCCAAATAAAAAATTATACATGAAATAACTCATGACTTCGTTTTAATAGTATACTAGATTTTGATCCGCGCTTAACAAGCGCATATATTTTTGTTGACCATAAAGACAAATACTAAATGAATTTATAACTATTGTTATATATATATTATTTAAAAATTGTTCTATTATTGTTTTCGTCTAATGGAATATTTTCATTGTATTTTCATATATGAGTCAGACTTGTGATTGAACAGACAAATCCATTTACTCGTATATAATAACGCTAGGATAGAATAAAGTGAATATGGCAAAAATAACTTTAAAAGAATATCCAAGACCGTTATTAATTCACTGAAAAAAAGATTTTTGACATATCAATATATATCTGACTTGCATAAGAATAAATTTTTGTACATAAAATTTGATTAAGCATTTGTGTTATTGGTAATTTTTGCAATATATATTCTAGATTTTTATTCGCGCTTTGAAAGCGCGGTTTTTTTAATTATAAACAAATTTTTGGTTTGTTATATAATATTAGTTTACAAAGTTGTATTATATAGAAGCAAAAGATTTTTTTTTTTCAAAAATATATAATTTATGAATTAGTGTATTTGAGATCTTGTATGTACGTTTTTATGTAATTCTCTTTTAGAGTTTGGGCCTTAATATTTTACTCGGACTCAAAAAATTGAATCAAAACCGATTCAATAATACATGTTCAGTTCGGTTGGGTCCGTGCTAAAAACATATTGGATATTTTTCTGGACCTGCGGGTCTCTATCCGAGTTTAAGTTCCATATGAGTCCCAATCAAACATCTAAAATACCCAAAATATTTTGAGTATATTATGTATATTTTGTTATTTCAAATAGGTTTTTGGTATTACATATATTTTTGAAGTGTTGAGTTCAGATTTTTGGTAATAATTTTTGGTTTCGAATAAAATTTCAGTTTTTAAAATATAAATTTGGCATCCAAATAAAATTTTGGTAGTTTTTCTTTCTCTTGGTCGGATTTCAGATAAAATTTGACATTTCAGATACTTCAAATTTTTCTCAGGTCCTAAATTCCTGAATCGATTTGAAATGTACAATTTATATGTATCCAGAAATCACATATTTTACAGCTATTTGAATTTGGATCTGAACCTAGTCGGATCCGAAAAAGAACCGACGCAAGCCAAATTTTTTTAAATGTCTAGTTAATAATAATAACATACAAATATACATGAATTAGAGGTTATCTTTGATATTGAAAAAGTTATATTAAGAGTTAAAATGTTCATATCGAAATCATCATATACTTTTCATTTAACAAAATAAAAGTTCTATCAAGGTATTAAATTGTTAGTAAGATACATTAATATAATTCTGGGGAGAATAATATTGTTTTAGTTGCTATTAATATGGTCATTAATAATACTGTTGTTTGGTTAGAGAAAATAAAGGGGAAGTCCAAAAAATTAAAAAGGAAAGGGTCCAAACAATTTTCATAGGTAGATTCATTTAAACTCCTTCTCTTTTAATAGTATAGATATAAATATATAATATATATTATTTTGTATATTTGAAATAGAATTTTAGTATTTTGTTCGAACATAATCTATTTAAATTTTGTAAATAAGTATATTTCGAAACTCCATCAATTTATATATTATTCTCATTAAATATATTTAGAAATATTTTAGATACGTTTAAATTTTCATTTATAAATAATAAGAATTTTAATGATATTTTATGATAATTATAATTTAAATTTAATGATTTAAAGAAATACAATTTTAAAAATATCAAAAAGATTTTGTTAGATTTATTTCTTTTTGTGTTTCAAATAGAAAGATAAAGATATTTAAAGATACTATCATTAGTTATGTAACATTTGATAATCTTTTTAAGGAATTGTCTATTTTTTTAAAAAAAAATTCACGCATGGATTAAGGTTATGACTTCTATTTTAATACATAAGATAGTAGTGTGAATTAGAACTATCGGACGCTATAAACCGGGATATTAAATTTGTTTAACAAATGAAAAGTAATCACTAATTCATTTTCCTGAAGTTATAAGTAAATTACTAGATCTAGATCCGCACGATCGTGCGAGTATTTTAAAACTAAACTATTTAAGTTATATAATAAAATTTATCAATAAATTTAATATAATTTGATGTTGTATATTATCTGATTTTAAATAATGTTTCTGTGGACTTTTAATATTATTAATATAAAATTTGTATTTTATAGCAATTTTTAAGAACATTATTATGTAACGTTACTAATTTACATATTTTGTTTCTTTCTAAATTTGAAATATATATAAAAAATAAATTAATTTGGACCTACATAATATATAAACAAATTTTTGGGATTGTGTTAAAAGTATTTTACATAAATTTTCATTTTTAATGAATCAAAATGAGTTAAAATTTTAATTATATTTTATGATAATTAAAATTTTAATCAAATAATTTTCGGAATGATATCTTGAAAAGATTCTAAAGATTTTAAATAGATTTTGTTAGAAGTTTTATGAAAAGATATCACGATGATATTAAGTAAAATTTTATAAATTTTCTAAGGATGGTCCAAACTAAAAAACCACACATGGAACGAGTAATGACTTCTGTTTTAATATAATAGATTCTTTTGATTATAAATGGGAGATGATATGGCAAGAAAATTTGTTTGCACATAGGAATATCGATTGAGTTAACTCATATGGCATCGTATCAATCATCAGTGAAGCTCTATAATACTCTTTTTTTTTTTTTTTGGACAACAAGATCTTATATTAAAATTAAAAGTCCAATGGACTAACTCGGTTACAGACAGAAAGATAATCGCCAGTCGACAGATAAGCTAACATAGCTAAAACATAATAAAAGATAGAGGTAGCCAAGGAGAGAAGAAACCCGTAGAATATCTTCACTTGTAATCCTAAAGCCCGCGTTCGAAAGAACACAAAGAAGTCGAAAACGACGTTGAAGAACCCAGTTAATGGGTTTTGAGAGCAGTTAAAAACCGTCTTTGAAGATATCAGGATCTTCCGACCTTGCAGTGAGGTACATGAAGGCTGCCGGAGTAGGACTACACACAGAGTCGTCGACGGTACAGCCTTCGAAGGATTGCAATTGGTAGAGTCAGGAGATACTGATATTAGGTCACATTGGAGTGAGATGCAGAGACCGTGAACATGAGCATTATGGGCCTTAGAATTAGGGTATAAACCCATATATGATAAAGCACGTACCCATGAGAACTTGCTGTATTTGGATAACTTGATGGGCTTTGATGATGGGCTCCCAGCAACCAACAAATGGGCCTGGCCCACCGAGATCCAGATCTCAGATGCAGTGACGTGTAGGTGGATGATGACGACGGGGAGGCGAGAGGAAGCACCGGCGCTGGAGGAGATGAAGTAACCGGTTAGAGATGAGCGGCCGTTTAGTGCTTCCTCCGTGGTGATGCGCAGAGCTGACGTTGAGGCGACGGCGGAGGAGAGAGTGTTCAGATTTTTTCTCCGATCTGTTGTAATCACGAAGCAGTGCGGCGGAGGCACGCCTTCTTGTCCGGGAGTGACTCGAACCGGAGAAGGAGATAGGCAAGACGGAGGGAGCGGACGGATAACGGCGATTGAAGGCCAAGTAGATCCAAAGAGCTCACATTCTGTCATAACAGATCTGGAACACACACTCTGAAAAGGAGGAGCTGCGACGAGGAGAGGAGAGGTAGTGGCGACGAAAAGAAATGAGGGGGTGGCGTCGAGATGAAGCAATAGAACGGCGACAAAATTAACAAGCGGAGCTGAGCAAACGTGATGAAAGCCAATGATAGCCATGGGAGGTGACAGACAGTGAAGACTTCTGTTACTCTTGTTGCCGAAAACGAACGCCGGTGTAAAGAGAAACAAAAGAAAGAAGACGACGAAATGAAGTTGTAATGGACGAACCCAGAACATGATGGTGAGAAACAAAGAGAGATCTGTCGATGAGTCCCAGCGCCGGCTGGAAACACCTTTGCCGGCGCCGGAAGATGGAGCTTCGGTCCTTGCCTCGATGTTCGTGTCAGAGAGCAATGCGGCTAGGGCGAACTCGATTAAAGTCAGTGCTCTATAATACTCTTGAAATGTAAATTCAGCCTGTTCCAAAACACATGTTATATACATACATTCACTTTAACAATAGTATATATATATATATATATATATATATATATATATATATTAGGTTCAGTTGTAAGCTAATATTTCCCTATAGCGTTTTTCAGTATTTGACTAGAATATATTTAAGTGTAATTCACAAACTAAAGCAATTTTAAACATCTATATTTTCGTGTCAATATATAAGCTAAATAGATGAAAATAAATAGAAAATTAATCTTTAAATAACTGAATCATTTAAAATTCATGTTTGAACCAATATTTGTTATTCACGTAATACTGGTATTTTGATTTTCATATTGTCGTATCGTATTGGAGTAAAGGTAATCATCATGTGGTACAACAATTTCAGAGAAGAACGATGACATTCACGAGATATGTATTCATGTTGTCCAAATTTATGAACAAACGATTCACGATGACACATAATCTTTTTATTTTCTATGCTGAAAGTTTCCTTATTCTTTGTTGGTTCATAAATAAATAAAAAGGCAGACATGTAGGTATAATGTGTATATTATGTAATCGCGATTGGATAGTGCGTACGAATTTTACTTGAACAAGTAAATGTGGAGATTTTGACGGAGGAAGCGAATTGGCAAAACTACACCAACATATTCAATAAAGTCAGAGCTACCCTTCATTTTTTTCTCATAGGTGTAAGATTTTAACTTCTTAGGCTTTGAATGTTGGTAGTGGTTTGATAAGAACGCACTGCGGAACTGAAAATGTGTTACTAGGGGTGGGCGCAAGCTAAGTATTTGCCAATTTTCGGAGTTTTGGTATTTAGCTTGGCTTGTTCAAATATTCTTATTCTGAACTTGAAGTTGATTTGTTTAAAACAAGTACTTACCACATCAAGTACTAGAGAGAGAGAAAAACTAGTACTTGCTAGTTACTTAATTTGATTTGTTACTTGCTAAACTCAAGTATTTGTTAAAAAAAAAAAATATTAGTTCAAAATTGAAAATAAGCATAATTTCCTACAAGAAAATGTGCTATGTTTTATATCAAAAAAATATTGGAAGATAATTTTTATTTGATTTCCGATAAAATATGAATAAAAGACAAAATATGTTAAATAAATAATGAGAAGTTTTAAACGAATAATGAGCATAGGTAAGAAAATAAGTAATCATAAAAAATATTGCAAGGTATAAGGCTATTTGATACTTGATTTACATTAGTAAACAATAAGATCGATTGATTTATTATCCTATTTAACAATGTTGAGAACTTTATTTTGCAAAACGAGACAAATATACCAAAAACATGACTCATCCAATTTTAAATTTAAATAGATTAATATTAAGAACGTATAAAAACTTATGCTAATGTTACTAAAAAAAATTAGAACGAGTAACAAGTATAAACAAGTCAAGTAATTAAACTTATTTAAAGATTTGATACTTAGTTTGTACTTGTAATTTTTTATTTGAGATATTTATTACTTGGTTTAATTACTGTGAGTACTTAATTTGACGGGTAAGTATGGATCGAATAGCCGATACAAACTGAGTAATTAGTATTTGTGCCCAGTCTTATGTGTTACCGTTCAACATAATTTCTTTAGCTTCTAATTTTATTAAAATAAAATTAATAAGAAAAGAAAAAAGGGACTACCGGACTAATTTGTACGTGAACCACACCTTGATATAAGGGAACGTTAAAATAGGGGAACCTTTACGTTGTATTCATGCCTTTGTAGTTTCGTTTGTCTTTGGAAGGATTGTGATTCTTACCGGCTTATGTTAAACTTTCATGTACGAAATTCATAGATGATAAAAAAAAAAGTATAAATAAAATGGGTTGGGATGTCTCATCAGTCATCACTTCAAAAGGATGTCTTGTTCTCAGACAAAGATTTTGGAGTATCTTCTCTCTCGCCCTACCACTTTTAAGATCGACCCATACCCATCACCTCTGTATTCTCTCTATAAGTCTATACTATTTACTTTTACCTTTTCTCATATATATAAAACAAAGTAAATAAATGTTTTAATCTGTGGAATATAGATGGCATTAGGGCTGGGTATTCAGGTCCTCAGGTGAGGTTTGGGTCGAGTTCTGTTGGGACTGAATCTTTCAGGTTTTAAATATTTAGAGCTAATAGGGTAATTAGAATTTGTCAGTCCAGGTTCGGGTCCTATCGGATCCAGATCAGTTCGGGTCTTAGATAGTTGGACCCAATAAATACAAATTTATTGGTTTGGGTTCAGTTCGGTTTCAAGTCAGGTTCGGTTTGGGTCCTGCCGGGTCCGACCTAAAAAATACCCACAAACACACATACCTGAAAATATTTAAATATCCAAAATCTAATCCGAAAACATAAAAATATCCAAAATTTTATCTGATTATCCAAATTATATTTTTTAAAATCTAAAATTTTACTTGAAATCCAAAATTATACCCGAAAACCCAAATCCAAAACTTAAAATAATACTCTTAATACCAAAAGAATATACTAAAACACATACACATATATATATATGTATATATATATAATATACTAGAAGTTGTGGATATTTCAAGTACCCAATCGGATTCTGGGTTCATGTTGAGTCGGATCCAAGACCCACAGATCCTTTACAACAAGAATCAATAAGGCAGTTCACCCAAACCGCACTTTTTTGGATTGGTTTCGGCTCGAATCCTCGGGTTCGAGTAAAATGCCCAGGTCTAGATGCCATTAACTAGCACGTCCCATGTTACCTAATTCTAATTTACAGCACAATCGACCTCACTCTGCAGTCTTTACCAAGCCCATTTAGGCAATGGCACTAAGTGAGTCAATAGTTTAACGGCCCAAGCTACTGTCTTTAAAGCATAGTTTGAAGAATGCCAATACTTGGTTTTAGATGGTGTTTAGTTAACAGATCCTTAGGGTTAATCTAATGCTTTTGGAAAAAAATTCTAAGTAAAAACAGGATCTTATAACAACACAAATATTCCATTTAAGTATACAGAAAATATTTGTTATATCATGTACAAAATAAACCATTGTATTGTAGTGTTATATTGTCATCAAGGACCCAAGCCCAAGAACAAATGCAGTTTACGTGTTACTATTCAAAACTGCTTCAAGGAACTATCAGTGTTAGGCTTTGATAGGTAACTGAATTATCATTGATTAAGTTTGATTAGAGAAATATATTTAAAAATATCACCAAATTAGTTTTAGAACTAGATTTTAACTCGGGCAACCACACGGGTGTTTAATTTCATTTATCAATTTATAGATATTTGTTATATATATATATATATATATATATTTTAACGTTAAACATAGGTTTAAAGATTTTTAACGATTTCAAATATAATAATTTTACATGTTATACTTAATCAATTATTTTAAACCATCACATGTATTTGTCTCATATATATATATCTTGATGAATTTACATTTGTTTATGATCTATCATGGTTTTGACCATGGTATTGAGATGATTTTATAATATATATATATATATGTGTGTTTTGGAGTCTATTAGGTATGTTTTCAGGTTCAGAAGCATTTTAGAGTAAAGTGATAATTTAGGGCGAGTCACAAACGCTAGAGAACAACCGATAGGCTCCCTCATCTCAGATCTCCTAAGACGCTGGTCCTTGAAAGGACATGTTGTTGGATCTGACCTTGGCCAATCTTGCTTCCAATTATGCTTTGAGTTGGAAGAAGACCCCTTCTACGTTTTACAGAACATGCCCTACAACTACAACCACTGGATGCTGATAATACAACGCTGGGAACCTGTAATCTCCCCGCTCTTCCCTCCTTAGATCCCGCTCTGGATAAAACTCCAAGGGCTGCCAATACACTTCTGGCATGATTAAATGATATATAATATAGGACAAGACCTAGGAACTCTGGAGGACTACAAAATCTTGAAAACATCTACTAGAATAAGGGTTTCCGTGGATGGCTTGAAACCTATCATAAAATCTTCAATTATTGAGCTCGACTCAGGGGAAGAATTACCTATCAGCTTAAAATATGAAGACCTGGGGTACCACTACGCCATCTACAACAATCTCTCACACTTGACAAGAGGCTGCTCCCTAGCACCACGATCGATTTGATCGATATCACCAGCTCCACAATCAGAGCTGCACAAGAGACACACTCTGCCCCCCCCCCAAGGAATGACCCTTTTAAAACTCGAATTGACCGGCATGACAACCTCTTCGGTGAAAGATTACCTCCCCCAAAACTAAAGGGACGACCCCTTCATAACAAAATCACACCAGTACTAAGGTCTTCACTTAAGAATGTACCTGCTCTCTCACGTCAAAGCATATATTGTTCAGAAAGCCTCTCTTACTCCCCCTGCACCTCAGGATCATCTGACTACAATTGGACCTATCTCGGGAGCTCACTCAAGGAGCAGACCACCTCAACAACAATGGAGAGAAAAACCCCACACCTCTCCACAAGCCCAACTCTTGACAGGAATTGGGGACGAAATCCTTCCCCCTCCACTTCGAAGTGGAAACTCACAAGAAAGACATCCACCGCTGCAAAAAAAACTTAGCCATTAGTGACTACCCTCATGAATCTAGAATTCCTACAACAGAGGAAGTTATGAACGAACTACGAGAGGCAACGTACTGTTATGCCAATGTAGCCGATCCTACTGAATCCGCGGCACGAAGAAAAATGATCTTAAGCGAAAAGGCATGGGTGATGGAAACTACAGCTGCAAATATCATCGCTTCAGCCATGAGAAACTTAAGTGCAGAAAGACTGGAGGGGCAAATCGCGCCAGAACATATCTCGAACTTGCAAGCAGATATCACTTCTCCTATCCTTGATCAGTCCCTATCTACACCAGTAACAACCAGACGCCAACGAAACATAGCAGGTTCTTATAAAAGAACATCGGCCAGTCAACAAATTTTCTCTGACACCAACTAGGCCTGGTCGTTCGGTGGCCCAATAGGTTTCGATTTGGTTG